CTACCAAAAAGTTATGATTCCAAGAAAAAGTTATAGTTCCAAAAAAAGAACCATAACTCGCTGCACTGGCTACCAAAAAGTTATGATTCCAAAAAAAAATATAGTTCAAAAAAAGGAACCATAACTTATGATTATTTTTCAAAAAATGCATAGCCAAAAACTATCAAAAACCTTTCAAAATCAAAGGTGTTTGCTAGTTTGGGGCTCTGTAAATCCAGGTTTTTCACTAAAACACAACGCTCAAAGCTAGCAAAAACACTTGATTTGGAAGGCTTTTTGTTAGATGTAGGCTATGCCTCTCCTTGAAAAAAAGAATCATAAGTTATGGTTATTTTTTCCTGGAACTATAACTTTTTTTGGAGTCATAACTTTTCTGTTTGGAATATTTTGTAATCATAACTTTTTGGTAGCCAGTGCTGCCAGTTATGGTTCTTTTTTTTGGAACTATAACACTGTTTTGGAATCAAAACCCTTAGGTGGGCTGTGTCACCAGTTGTGATTCTTTTTTGGGGAAACTATAACATGTTAAGAATCATAACTTTTGGGGTGGGCACTGTCCGCAGTTATGATTCCTTTGTATGGAAAGCAAGGGCGATTGACAGAATCTTGACTAGACATAAATCTGTGGATGTTCGTCAGATTCACACACTTGATGTTTGGATAGTGGTTGGCTCGGCGCGGTTGGCATCCCTTTTTATGTTGAACCTGGTGGCAGCATGACATGTGCGTTCACACACATATATAATGTGTGTGTGTGTTTGTTTGTGTGTCTTTGTGGTTTTCTTAAAACTTAAACCTGTCGCATACATTCTTAATTTTGGCCTACTTGTCAAACTGAGATTGGCCGTTAATAAAGTGGAGCCATATGGAAGCTCTGGAAGCACCATGCACCCTGCGACATAAAACCAAGACACGAGGATTGCACTGAAGCAGGAATTGGGATTGATTATGGTTTTTGTTTTAAGTTCAACCATCTTAAAAGTTATGATTCTTTTTTGAACTGAACCGCCTTGACTTGCGAAATTTGACATTCTTGGCATTTGGATTGACTAAGACATAATATCCTAATTGGGTTGCTCGTTTTGTACTTTTGCTTGCCCTTCTTTTCAATCCAATTCCAAAACATGAAGCATTGCCATGGGTCAACAACTCTCACGTCAATTTGTCCAACAAAAATTAAAATTATTCCATCCATTAAAGATGACAACTGAAACGACGGCAGTGAACACCAATCCCTGCAGGAACTTACCACCGATTACAGAGATTTGGGCAAGGACCAGACATAATGCGATCAAACGCAAACACCAAAAACGCTGTTTTCTTGCAATTTCAAGTATTCTGTTTGGAAGGAATTCTTAGAATTGGTTCAAAATCCTAAAAACTTACAGTAAATCATTTTTTGAAACAATACA